ATTATATACTTGGTCTAAAACGCAGAGGTAACAAAGTACACAACTTTTATTACTTGAGTGAAAGTACAGATACTATAGTCAAATATTACTCCATACAAGTGAAAGTTGTAAAGACAGATTTTTACTTTAGATTAAAAAAAAAAAAAAAAAAAAAGGATTTCTAGGATTTTAACAGACTTTGAATATGTCTTAATCACAGGTGAGTTCAATATCCGTATGGATGTAATTTCTGATCCACTGACTGTTCATTTTTTAGTTATACTAAATGTGTTTGGCCTCACATAATCATGTAGTTACCCCCGTCCCAACAATACACACACACACACACAGACACTCTATTGTAGATGTTGCCCTATCTGACCATTATTTTGTCTTTTTTGAGATTTCAGTATGTTCCAAATCTATGAGTGATAAGAAAACTTTCAATAAGCATTATCTCACTGCTGATTCTGCCACAACCTTCATGGAGCTCATGTCATCCAAGGCTTGAAATTGCAACCATTTTGGTTGAATATGCTCCCGAAATGTAATCTGTGCGACCTCAACATATATTTGGGGGCATTTGTGCGAGTTTTAATTTTTCTACAAAACGTTAGTTCATTACTGCACAGCATGTGCCTGCTGTAAGCTGATCCAGTTGTGTCCCAAATCAGGGGCTGCATCCTATGAAGGTCGCATCCTTCATAGGACGGACTGAGATTTGTTAAATGAGAGCGATATAACCGATTAGCCAAAATCCAAGGCTCCTTTGAAGGCTTCTTCAAATGCAGCCTACAAATGTGGCCTTGTTTCCCATGAAATGAAAGATAGATGGACCCTTTGTGGCCTTTCTTTAAGTTTTAAAATTCATGTTGCACCAGTGATAACGGTTTTATTTTAGAGAAACTGGCAGATTGCAATTTTAAATGTAAGCTTTGAGCTTCTATAAACTTGCATAATCTTATGTATCTACTGACACAAATAAAAAAATACACAACGCATTCTCACCCCAAGGCGTCACATTTGACCATGCTTCAATATTTGACGTTTTAGGCGCCCTTTAGCGTCACTTACATGACGCGATCCTACAGCGTCATCTAACTGACGCTAAAGGAAAGTGTCAGTTAGAGGACGCGGTTAGGTTTAGGTGTGGGGTGGGGGTAGGGTACACGCGATCCTAGGGCGTCATCTAACTGACGCTAAAGGGCGCCTAAAGCTTCAGATATTGAAGCATGTCCAAATGCTTCCCAAGGCGTCAGTTAAGTGACGCCTTGGGGGGTTCAGATGTTGATTCATACATTATGCCAACATTCGATTTAATATAGGTTTTGTACATAAATGGACCAAAGTGAACAATTATAGCAACGCATTCTCACCCCAAGGCGTCACCTTTGACCATGCTTCAATATTTGACGTTTTAGGCGCCCTTTAGCGTCACTTACATGACGCGATCCTACAGCGTCATCTAACTGACGCTAAAGGAAAGTGTCAGTTAGAGGACGCGGTTAGGTTTAGGTGTGGGGTGGGGGTAGGGTACACGCGATCCTAGGGCGTCATCTAACTGACGCTAAAGGGCGCCTAAAGCGTCAGATATTGAAGCATGTCCAAATGCTTCCCATGGCGTCAGTTAAGTGACGCCTTGGGGGTGAGAATGGGCTGATTATAGATAGGTTTTCAATCCTGTTTTGATTTTAGGCAGTTGAATATAACTTAAAAAGTCCAGTTCAAATGTTACTTATTCATCAACATCAGTTATCACAGTTGGTAAGAACAGATCATCCCATTGAACAACACAGGGATGCAGCAATAGTTAGCAACAATTTGACAATAAATGTTGGTTTCATTTTCCAAATAACCAGTGGTGGAATGTAATGAAATACATTTACTAAGTAAAAGTTTTCAGTACTTTAGATTTTATTCAAGTCCTCTTCATCTCAGAGGAAAATATTGTACTTTTTTTTATATAAAATATTACTTTTTTACAAGATGATTTTAGATTTTGATATTAGATTTTGTTTTAAAAAAATATCTGAAATATTATTATTATTATCAATATATTATTATTAAAAATATTATCAATCGGCAGGGTTAGGCCTAATTAAGCTCTGCAGTCATAGAACAGTTTTGCATGTTACAATATTCAGAGCTGGGTAGTAACTGATTGCATGTTATCTTAATCAGATTCCAAAAGTCTACCAGTACTTGTAATAATTTGATTATATATATATATATATATATATATAGTGATAACTATAGTCTATAGTGAGCCCTATATGAAATAGTAAAGGTCCCAAAGCTGAAGTGAAATGGCAAAAAATGCAATGAATGCCTTTGAAAACAAGTCAGTATCACAAATATTTGGGGAGTTTTTTGTTTGTTTTTTTGTGGCTGATGGTGAATTAGGTTTTAAAAAACTCATATTCATGATTTCCATTACACAAGAGTAAATGTTAAAATTTCATGGTGATTTGTACTCGGCTTTCGCCAAGATAATCACAAACTAAGATGTAGCTTTACAGTAAACTATGCTTCTCCATCCATTTACGCTTCTTTCCATATGGTGGTGGCACACACGACGGCTGCAACTGCAGTGTGGTGTCCCCAGTGGACCAGCACAACAGCCGTCTGGATTGAGCCGAATAAGGGACATCTCTAGGGCCACCTCAAGAGGGCTCGACAGTGACTCTGGCATTCCCTCAATATAGGCTATGGTGTAAAACTTTTGGTGGGTGCTCCTAAATTTAAGCTGAAGCCCCTAACTTTTTGGAATTGGGAGCACTAGTGTGACCAAGTGAAAAGGTTAATTTCGAGCCCTGCTATCTCACCCTCCTCTCACTGGTGCTATGCTAGACTGGTTCAGATCCTATTTAAGCAAAAGGGAATACTTTGTTACAATGGGCATCTGCACCTCGGCATTACATCATTTCTTGTGGGCTCCCTAAAGGCTCAATGTGTCCTCTATTATTTAACCTATACATGCTTCCTTTTGCTGGTGTAAGTAATCAATAAAATATATTTCATTTCAGACACTCAACTCTTTCTTTAACTTGCACCAGATGCACACAATTCAATTTCCACCCAACTGGCCTGCATAGAGAGCATAAAATTGTGGATGCCACAGAACTTTTAACAGCTAAACAAAGATAAGACAGAGGTACTTGTTATCAGTATGATAAACAGAGAACTTGATCATGCATTTGTTACGTCTAGACTTGACTAATAGCGTCTTTGCTGGTTTACCTCTATTAAGCTCTATTAAACGCTTGCAAAGATTTCAGAATGCAGCTGCACGAATGCTAACTCACTCTAAAATTAGAAAACACATTACTCAGATCCCTTCACTGGCTGCCTGTATCATTCAGAATTGAATTCATGAGATCCTCTTATTAGTTTTTTAATATCTTCATGGAACTGCCCCAATTTACCTTTTCCAATTTGTTGAATAGATATATTCCAGCAAGATCGCTCCAAACATAAAATAGGAATTTGTTGGTTGTGCCATAAACACGGCTAAAAATGGGTGGGTCTGCCTTTGTTATTTCGGTCGCAAGCTATGGAACTCTTTTTTTTGACAAACTATGAGTAATCGACTCACTATGCAATTTTAATTATAGTGAGGAGAATGTCTGAAGTGGACTATCGAAATAAAGTGTACCGAAATATTTATTGGAAGTATGGGAATTATATAGTGACAAATTGCAAACAAAATAAAACTATATTATATTTTATTCTATTCTATTTTATTATATTCTGCTTTAAAGTCAATTTCAGCAATGGACATTCTCTCAAACAACTTATACTGAAAGAGTTTAAATGTATGATGGACATTTGTGGCTGCCTTTCTTTCATTATCCACTCCAGTTCATCCATAATAATAATAATAATAATGTTACACTGTTAAAAAAAAAAAACATTTTTAAGATTTGTTATCACAACATATTTTCTTTTGTCAAATCAGCTTAAATAATTTATTTAGTTGAGATAACTTATTATTTTGAGTTTCTGATGATTAAATTAATCTCCTTCATTGTATTAACTCACTTTTTCCAGTTCAATCAACTTACAATTTTAAGGCAACCAGGTTACTTACTTTTTTAAGTTAAACCAACAATATTTTTACAGTAAAAAAAATCTTAACATTTCATAGACAATTTATATTGTCCACAGAGCTAATTTGAAGCATTTAAGCACAATTCTTTTAGAGAAAAAGTTTTTAAGATCACAGGTGTGATCTAAAATAAAATCGATGCAGACTGTTTGTGAACTCAACTTGTGTCTTTACTCGTCTCCCTGTTAAATGTAAAGACATCCGCTTTACAATTTATACATGGAATCTCCCCTTTTGCTTTGAATTAAACATAGCCTTTACTTTGGGAATTAGAAACTTACTGAACTGTCATAATCAATATGACATACAAAGTGCCACCAACACACTAGTGATCACCTCAGAACATTAACTTTTTTCCCCCAATGTTAAAATTCCTCTTACATTTCCATTTTAACCTGAAAGCATAATAATTTTAAACATCTTTTAAATTTTACACCTTAGTACATGCTATTTCCTCAACAAGAAACTCAATAAAGTCTTTAAATCTGCCAGGCTTTCTGATTTGTCTCATTTGGGGAGTCACCGCACCACCTAGTGTTTTATTCTGGGTAGGCATTTTGTCAGAAATTATGCCCTGTTTTCTCTGTTACTTGTTTGTCTGGTTCTGTCTCTGCTGTGAATTGTTGTTCAACTGGACTGTCATTTACATTCTCACTGAAGAATTTATTCACAAATGTCATGTTTCTGTTATAATGGGCTCCCCCTAAATCTTCAATAGTCACAGAATTTCTCTTTTTTGACAGTTTATATATATATATATATATATATATATATACACATATATATATAATTAGTATGTCATCCATGACCTTTAAATACAAACTTTGCAAAATGAAGATGAAGAAACGAAACTAATGCTACAGAAATGTGACTGGACACCCCCCACCATTTAGAAAATAGAACAAGCCTGATAATGAATTGATATAATTTTTTTTTTCTTTATTTTGTTTATCCTTCGCTAAAAGCAAACATACATAAAAAGAAAGCTACATAAAAAGAAAAAGAGTAGTGCTTTAAAAGTAATAGTCTCAAACAGGGAAGAGAATATGGCCAGAGAAATAGCTGGAAGTGGTAATACCATTAGCACCCCGAGAAACCTCTATAGACACACGGTCTCCTATCTGTAGGTTCAGTATGACCTTTCCTTCAGCTAATGTTCGCGTATTAAAGACGATTTTTTCAGCAGTTAGCTGTACAGCATTATTTTTCTTAAAGGTCACAGTGCCCAAAGTCTGAGTTCCTATGCATGAGAACTGAAATTCATATACACCAGCAATCTGGCAGAAGAACAGCCCTGATTTTTGGTTATAATGGTTCTGTCCATTGTAAAGGACCCGACTGAACACAATCACCTTAGCAGAGGCAGGAAGGGTGGTGCCAAGAAAAGCAAAGAAGGCAGAATTTTGTCCGGTCGTATTATCTGGGGGTCCTGGGGGTCCTGGAGGTCCAGGTGGGCCTGCTACACCTTGTGGACCTGGGAAAATGAAATATTAGATAAAACAATTACAAACTTGTATCTGTAGGTTAGTTCTGTTTCAGTATATGGCTTAAAAATAAAAATAAAAGAATTAGTGAGGTTGGCAGCTTTGTTGGAGGATTATTTTGATTTAGATAGATTGATCCATGGCTTGCTTACCAGGTTCCCCTGGAGGTCCTCTGGGTCCTGGAGGTCCTTGTATGGTATCTGGATATGAGGGTTAATGCATAGATATTTTATGTTTGCACTATAAGCCAAACTGTTTGCATTAAAGTAAAATAAATCAGTTTAAAATGCAAAAGAGGCCCGTGACCCAAGCAAAATTCCTTGAAGCATGCAAAAGGTAAAAAGGACTAAACAGCTTGAAAAGGTTTGGTGTAGTTCATGTGCAGTCATAAAACACTGCTTGAAAGTTTAAGTTTAATTTCCAAATGTATTAATTTATGTCACTGTACCAGTGTATAGCAAAGAAAAAACTACTCAAGCTGTGTCCAGTTTGGAGATTTTGCAGTGAATTAATTGCCATTTAAGCTAATCAATCATGTGCACAATGTCATCACACTCTCTTTTTCTTGCAATTAGAAGAAAAAGAAAACTTGTCTAACCTCGTTTCCGATGTCTGATATGTTGATACCACCATCACCTGGAAGGCCAAATACCAAATCACAGGTGAACCAAACCATGGTGACCATGCAAATAGATTATGACATGTCTTAAAAACCTGGTATGTGCCTATACTACCATAAATAAGGTTCTCTACAAGCACATAGAAAAGGTAGTAAAAAGCTTAGGCAGAATTTAGCAGTCAGATGAAGAAGATTCATGTCTGACCACATAGCACATAAGCATTTAAGAGCTCAAATACTATGGTGCCTTACCAGTTTCAAAGTAAACAAAAAGTCAGCAGACCAGAAAATGCTTGTAAGAAACTTACCAATTTCAATCCAAGGGTTGAGGTCTAAGGCGGGGATATCCCCACAGTTTTTGAAATTGTCTGAACTGGTGAAGCGGAAAGGATCTCTGGGAACTCTGACGATTCCAGTGTTGTCACAGATGATGCGGGCCAGCGACACAGAGGCCAGAGATGCTTTTTGTTTGGTTGTAAACACTCCTTTGTTCTCCCACCATAACCTGGACACAATGAGACACCTGGTGTTAACACCTCCTAAACACAATTTAGTCTCATTGACTGAATCAGGGATGTCCAATCTTTCTCCCGGAGGGCCAGTATCCTGCAGAGTTTAGCTCCAACCTGCCACAGTGCATTCATCTCAAAGTTTCCTGAATACCTTGATTAGTGGGTTGAGGTGTTTTTTAATCAGGGTTGGAGGAGGATAGTGGCACTTCAGGAGAGGGATTGGAAACCACTGGACTACATACACAGAAATCTTTACCTGTCACCATCGCGAATGTGCTGGAACTGTCTAGATATTAGGCAGGCAAAAAGAGAACCAACACGGCCACCAGGAACAAAAGGCTCAGAAACACCTCCCAACCAAATGTCAATGTTCTCAGGGGTGCCATAAAGCTCAATCAGCTTGCGAGCCAGTTCAGGGTTGTTCATCACCACAGCCAATTCTTGCTCATTCTGAGGTGCAGACAGTCCACAGAACCGTCGCCATGCATTATAGCCTTATGAGAAACAAGAAATGGATACCCGGTAAGTCTTCTCTCAAAAACACATGCAGCGATAATGCAGCATGAAGCTGAGTTGGCTTCACATGGTTCAGATTAAAGGGTTCCAAGATTTGGTGTGCATATGAATGAGTCCAGAATATTTACCTGGTATAGCGTGGTCACGGCTTCTTTGCATATTGAGGGCGGCCAAGTCCAAAGCAATGTGGGCTGTAAAGGCAAACAGTCTCTCTCTAAGAGCATCCACCATCATGTGGTCCTGCGTATTCAGTTTTGCTGGCCGACCAATCAATCCACGGAGCAGAGGATCGATGCCCCCTAAGCAAAAAACAAAGCAGAATAAAAAAAGATGTAAAGAAGACAGATTTGGGACTCTTTAGGCATGATGTAAGAAGCCTCACAAACTCACCCTCGAATATCACCCTCCATGGGGAGAAGAAGGCCTCATAGAGGGGCACACTTGGAAATTGAGGATGGTTCTGGTAATTTTCATCAAGACGAGATATAATGGGTTGGATGGCCAAGTGGGCAAAACGGAAAGCTGCAGTGGCAAAGACGTTTGCAATGGTAGGATCCACATTATCATTGTAACCTGGATATGGTCCAAGGTTTCTATTGTAAGCATCAGGGCCCACAATTATTGGCAAGTATTCCTTAATCACCAAGATCTAAAAGAGTAAGGATAGGTTGAATATATGTTGTACTCCACATGTAACTGTTTGTGCTTGTTAATGTGCTTTTCAATAAACTTAATTTCAATTTAATTTACCTGGTTGTAGGCACCCACAATTTTTCTTGCCTCTTGATAGAGGGTTTCACTACTCCAGGTAGGATTGAGCACATGGAGGGCACGAGCCAATCTATTGTGCTCTCTCACGAAAAGTGCGTGTAATGAGGTAAGAGCAATGTTCTCATCAACACGAACATCCCCTACACACATCAAGAGTTTATTAGCATTTGGCACATGGAGTAGTGCGAATACCATACATTTTAGATCAGGGTTTCTCAAACTGGATTTCAGAGTTTTAACGGTCCTGGAGGACTTGCTTATGAAGGCATAAGATTTTCTAAGAATGAAAAATTGACTGACCTGCAATGAAGCAAGGCACCTCTATTAAGGTGGTGTCATTGAGGATTTTCCCACGCGTGGCACACATGTTACTTTTTACACTAGTAAAGGGCAGGTGCTCTCGTCCATTGTCCTGGAACTGATCGTTGACACGCAGAAGACCACCATCATTAGTCAGGTCTCGGAGTCCTTTTGCTAGCCCATCTTCTGCTCCGTAAACCTGTCCAGCATCTAGGAAAGCTGTTAGAGAGTTGATCTGTTCCTGAACTTTGGGGACCCCACCAAACATATAGGCAGTGTTTCCAGAACCACAGGCTGGTGATGAACGGAAGAAAGGGAGGCAGGACGCAGGGCGCAGGCGTTGATCTCCTGGAGGAGCCTGTGTTTTGACCATAAATATAGCATGAAAGATAGTTTTTTATAAAACAACAATAGTGAGACAATATCTGAGAGAAGGACAATCTTTGACTGACCGGAATCGGGAAGCAGGGTTCAGAGCGCTCACAGCTCAAATCACAGTTGAGGCCACTGCTGAAGGACCTAATGCTTGGTGAGTTGGGTGTAAAAGTCAGATCATGGTCAACCCATTGCCCAAATATGGTAAGCATGAAGGTAAAGTCATGATCACTCTCTACGTCAGCATCTGCAGTGCTTAGAATATGATTGGAAACCAGTCTGGCCTGGAATCAAAAAGGTGGACAGAATTCAGACATTGTTAACTGATTGGTGGCCTACTTGATTGTAAAGTAGACTTCAGTAAACTATTCATAATCATCTCCATCATACCAGGGGCAGCGCTGCACCATTGTGCAATTTGTTGGGATCCCACCCTTTGGGCTGGGAGATGCCATCCTCATATTCAGCAGGCAACCATCGGGCAAAAGGGGTGTTGGATGCACCAAGAAGGGGGTTCCTCCTGGGAATGATACATTTAGTTGTTTAGCGAGGCAAATACTTGTCTTGAAGACCTCTCTGAATATGGAGGACAAGACAGACCTGTTGTTGCAGACATTGTTGGCAGTTCGATACTTGTTCATGTTGGGTGTGGTTCTACAAGAAGGGGGCTGGATTTGAGCAGCACAGCCTGTCAGACGTGTAATCGTGTTAAGCTCGTCTCGAGTGAGCAGATCTAGGGGAAAACACATAATGACGGTTTAAAGCAAGGAAAATCAGTCAGTGATGGATCTTTTCTGAGCTTTGCTAGTTTGGCAAAGTATTTTATCCTCATACCTGTGGCATTGATGGACCTCTTGTGTACATGATGAGCTTTCTCACTGATCAGTCTGAGTGTTTGCCCCATGTAGTCTGCGGCTCTCACCGCCTCTCGTGTTTTTCGAGCTGGCTGTTTCAGCAGACGTAGCTTGTCCGAAGGCTTGATGACATCTCTGCGCACCCTTGCTAAACTCCTGGAAGTGGGGAGATTTATAAAAATAAAATAGATCAATGACTGATGATGGCACAGGAATATTGAGCAATATTCTTAACATTTGACTCACTCATCACGAGAATACTTGTAAGCAGCATCTACTATTTGCTTTGCTTCCTCAATTGAATCTAGAATGAAACGTCTCCCGGGACTCTCTTCTGCTGCTAAAAAAGAAAAGGGCATTACATCATGATATGGTCCTAGAGAGGCTAATGATGACTAATTTTAGTGAAAGCTGCAATTTATCTATTACTTTACTTTACAAAATGCAGCAATGTGATATATGTAATCATGAAATTGAATCATGAAACTAAAGAGACTATTTCTTCCACCAGAAACAACTGTTTTGATATGATTTGATTCTACATTGTTAATTAGATTTTTGTAAAACTTACCACCCATTGAAAGGGCACAACAGCACCCCAACAAAAAAAGAATAGTGGGAAGATGCATCTCTGAAACACAAATTGAGACATATTTTGTTTATGAAAGTTGCACTGTTTTATACATTTCAACAATTTTCCTCTTCATTTAAGAGAAAAATTACATGATTAATTAACTTAAAGTATTTTTTAGACTGCTTAGTGGTGTAAAATGGCACTTTAATTTAACTTTAATTTAAACTAAATAAATTGTTTTAAGATTATTTATATTTTACATTTTAATAGGACAATATAATGCTAAGAATTAACAGCCCAGAATAAAAAGTAAATTAAACATTATTATTTATTCTAAATTCTTTGCATTTGCAATCAACATAACAGAGTTTCATTATACAGCTTTTTTAAGTGCAATTAAACTGATAAAAAAAGAAACTTGAAGAGAATTTGTGCATTTCTCACCTTGTGGCAGGTCTCAGGCTCTCTGGTTCTGGACTGCAGACTCAGAGTGTGTTGTGAACTGGATGGAGTTTGGCCGAGCTTTATACCGTCCCTCATCCTCACTCTGCTCAGCATCACTGAGGTAGTCATAGGTGGGGCAACTGGTTTACTTCCTTCTTCCTTTTCACCGAAGGACATTTACCATGTCAAGTTTGATTTATCGATTTATTTGAGGTGACAGTCTGACACTTATTTACTCTTCATTGCTCTACATTACAGGAATGCAAGGACAATAGTTACAGATTTCTCTACTTATCTTCTTAATACTGACAGAAAACATTTAAAGCCAAAAAACATTTAAAACATTTAAAACATTTAAATGGTTCACTAAAAATATTCTGTCATTAATTCCCCCCTTATATCATGTCACTCCAAATCTTTATGTGTTTCTTCTGTGGAACATAAAACATAATGTTTTGAGAAATGTCTGAGTGTTTTTTGTCCAATGCAGGTCAATAGGCTCCTATGTTTTTGAGTTTCCAATTTTGGTAACACTTTATTTTGATAGTCCACTTTAGACATTCAACTTACTATTAGTAACTTTGCCGCTACATGTCATTGACAACTAACTATCATTAGAGTATTAGTAGACTGTTAGCTTAATATCTGCTAACACTTTATTTTGTTGGTCCCCCAACAGACATTCAACTGACTGTAAGTAACTTAGCAACTACAAGTCAACTTGTTCTCCTAACCTGAACCCTAACACCTAACCCTAACCTAACAGTCTACTGACAGTCTACTACAGCCTACTAATACTCTAATGACACTTAGTTGACATGTAGTTGAAAAGTTACTTATAGTTAGTAGAATGTCTAAAGTGACTATCGAAATAAAGTGTAACCCCAATTTTCTTCAAAATATCATCTTTGATGTTAAGCAGAATGATGTAAAAATTAATATGCTTTATCTCAATAAAATTGTGGCAACAGATTACAAGCAATATTATTTATTAAATTGAACAAATTAGAATTGAGTAATAGTTAATCAAATTAATATTCTATTTAATTCTAATTTGTACAATTTAATTGATAATATTGCTTGTAATATGTTGCCACAATTTTATTAATTAGATAAAGCATATTATTTTTTTCAGTGTAGGGAGGAATTCATGAAATAGATACTAGATTTAAGTAACTTTGCAACTACATGTCAGCTACCATATTATTAGAGTATTGGTAGACTGTCTGTATCTGCTAACATTTTATTGTGATGGTCCACCAAGAGCCATTCTACTGACTCTAAGTAACTTTGCACATGTCAACTTATTCTAATCTGAATCTTTATCTAACCCTAACCGAACAGTCTATTACAGTCTAATGAGTGTTAGTTAACATGCAGTTGCAAAGTTATTTATGTAAGTAAAAAGTCTGAAATGGACTATCGAAATAAAGTGTAACCGAAATATTAATTGGAAGTACTTGTATGTGACATTTAAATATATACATAAATTCAACATAAATTTATAAAATAACATAAATCCAATCAGGTGTGTTGAAACATTTGACTGGTTTGTGTTACCATCATTATGTTTCTTTTATTTTTCTGACATTAAGGAAGTTAATAAATACCTACTGTACGAAACAAAAGGTGAAATTGTTTAACAGCCTCCAGTGACCTATAATCTCTAAGCTCTCTTAAGAAACATTTCCTTCTCTAAATTTATCAGTGTCTGGACTATTGTTTTTTTTTTTGTTTGTTTGGTTTTTTTTACCACCACCGCACCTGTCATGGTGTCAAACTACATAATGTGATGAATCACAACCTGATTATGAAGTTATTTAAAAGCAAATGTTTCCCTGATTACAGAACATTTCATGGAAACCATGTTGGTACACACAAGAACGTTATTAGTTACAAGATATTTAATGTTAGCTTTAAACATAAAGACTTCATTTGCCAAATTATTATCCTGACTTTTATTAGGCATAAAGTCTGCCTATTTTTTTTTTTCCTTTTTATTTCTGTTATTCAAAAATTGACTCTTCCATTAGACTCTTTCATTGTTGGAGTCATATCAAGTTTAATTTCATGCTAATTAAATTGCTTTTTTACCACTAAAAGTAAATGCCTTCAGACTTAAAAAACAACAACAACTGAATAAATGTTTTTTTGGTCTTGAAGATTTTTTCCCATACAGATATGTTGAAAGTTTTCAGAGGAACTTACTTTACTTTGTTGGCTAAGTGAAGGCAAACCTCAAGAACAAATTTTCAACAGAAACATTAGATTAACTACAAACTGTCACATATTCACTCCAATCTGAGACTCTCAACTTATTTTTTGTGGTTTTGTACTTCTCATTTGTACTTTTTTTGTGTTTTTGTACTTCTCATGGCGTATCAATCAATTAAACTCAGAGTTAACATTTAAACAAAACTGTAAAAGATGAGACTTTTTCTTTTTTGTTACCTGAGGTGATGTGATTTTATCTTTTTTTTTATTTATTTTTTTTTAGATAAAGTATATAGACTCAAACTAGACTTTTTAGTTCATGAAGTGACACAGATAAGGTACAGTAAAAAAATTCTGAATATATATTTGTAATGGTAAAAGAAAGCATATGAAAGATTATTAAAGCTAGAGGATAATATTTTACTGGTGGAAATTTGTTTAATTGTAAACCACTGTATCACATTTCTTATCCTTTTTTGATCTTGCAAACGTCTTGAAATTCACATCAGAGAAATTAAAAAATTTGAAGCACCAACCTCAAATTTAGGACCTCTTTGATTATAAAGCCCTGTCTATGGCCCTGTTTTAGGCATAAGATCAATAATGAATGTGTAGCCTATATGTTTTGAATACATTTAATAATCTTAATTACCTAGCTTTAGTAGCTTTCAGTGAATAAACGTGTCCGAGAAAAATTATTCATAGGCAAAATCAATCATTTGACCCTATGTTTACTTTCTTCACTGACAGACAAAAATGAAAAGCCTATATCAGTCAAAGCTCAGCTTTAGGAGTGGAAGAGACAGGGCAAGATAAAAACAAAGAGAAAAAGGGGGTGATGCTGATGAGGAGAGAGAAATAATCAGCATGCCCAGTGCCCACTGACATGGTTTTAAAGCTGTTATCTATTTTTTTTGGCCTTCAAATCATCCTAAAATGCACATATGTAGACCAGAGAAATAACATTTTTCCCTGAACCCCCCTAACTAACCTAACTCACATTTGGGACAACAGTGATTATAAAACCATGCCTTTGCATGTAATGAAACTGGTTAATAGTGAGCATTAGATCCTAAACTGAAGTGTTAACTTTTTTTTCTTTTTTTTTTTTCGAAGTGAACTGTCTTCATAAAGTATCTTCTTATTAAACGGTCTGTACACTTACAAAGTTCTCAATGCTTCGTTTTGCATGCATGGAGCCTCATTATGTTACTGTGTTATAGTGTGGGGCTATTTTGAGCTTTGTTAGTGGTATAAACTAGCGATTTCTTTTTACTTGCAATCCCCCTATTACTAGCATTATACGCTAAACAGTTTTTAGAGATAAAACTCTTTACATTCGATTATCATGAAAACAAAACTCAGAGAACGATTGACTATAGGTACCGATGTTTTATTAGACCAAAGGTTCATTGTTCGCCGGAGTTCCTTTAACTATGGCTCTTCGTCACGACAAAACCTCTCGTGTTAAACTAACACACCTGGGAGTGTATATGAGTCCACACTCAAGAGTGTTTAAGTTAATGAGACAATAAAGTGATTAAATGAGTGATGATTGAGCATTATTGAAGACACCTAAAGCAGAATCACAAGGAGAAATTCAAAAATTGTATGCCACCGTTATGGAGATGAGTGTTTGCTTAAGTTGGGCTCTTGACCCTGTAAGAAATTACAGTCTGCCCCGATCAAACTTCCACTCCAATATAGATATATTGAATACTTATTTATCATAGAATCAATTCCTTACAATTTTAATCGTATCACAGAGTCACGTTTATCCAACCTGATCTCACGACCTAGTCGTACGAATTCGACGAATGATTAAAAAGTGGCTACTTCGTAACAATTCATACGACCTCACTCGTGCGAATTAATACGATTTTGCTAAATCGTACATATTTTACGAATTGGCCAATTCGTATGAATTCGCACGAATGACCTACCCCTTACCCCGCCCCTAAACCTAACCATCACGTGGGTTTAGACAAATCGTACGAATTAGTACGAATTAGCCACTTTTTAATCATGCGTCGAATTCGTACGAATTGGTCGTGAGATAGTGTTGGTTTATCACCTATAGAGTGGGAAAGACAGTGGGTATTCAAGAACCATCTTGATTAGGGAGTTTCTGAGAGATATTATCACCTTTAAACATTTGACCGTATCACTCTAACACTTGTATCGTTCTCTTCAATTTAAAGACAGAGTTTCAGCTCCACGCTGATAGAGAAGACGAATCTGTTTGTCTTGATTTACATTTAAGAGAAAGCTTCATTTACATGCTGAGGGGGAAAACAGATGTAATACTGTATAAAATGTTTGCGCTGGGATGAGTTCGGGGTTCATTCTGACGCAGGTGAACCCAACTTGCTTCGTGTGCCTTGCCACTGCTATGCTGTAAATAAACGTAATTTTTGAGCTCTTCGACGTCCACTTCATTTTGTCTTACACTGGCGAGCCACCCTTCCAGGAGGTTTCCAACAAAAAGCGGGGAAAAAGGTTAGAAAAAGCTGTTTTCTTTCATTTAAGTGCTGTTTTGTCAGGAAACCCCTTGTTTAAAAAAATCTAGAAAAGGAAAATTTTAGGACCGAAGAGAATTTGGATTATTCAGTCTTAGCAGGAGGAGTTGTTAAGCCTATTCTGTACGATTTTGTTTAAGATTCTAACGGAATTGAATCAGCCTGAAGCAGTGTGGCGGCGAGTTGTGTTGGAATTGTTGTTTCTAAAGTAATTGAAACAAAGTGCTTAAGTGTAAAGTTTCTAAAGTAACTGAAACTTGGTGTTGGCCTCTTATAATTCTCTTAAGATTCTAAGTGAATAAACCCGAAGTAGTGTGGTGGCAGAATTATATTGGATCAGTTGTTTCTAAAGTATCCGAAACAAAAGTGTAT